GTGCAACCCGCTCGCTTTTCGTTTTCCTCTCCAGTCCTGCTCAGGTGGGAACCCCGTTCCTCTTCAAAATCGGTGGTATAGTTGCGCCAGCTGCTTCAAGCAGTTGACCCGGGTTCGACTCCCGACTACGTGCATGCTTTTGCTGCCATCGCTCTCTCCATGCAGGGCCTCCGTGCATTTCGAGAAAACGGAAGCGAGCGCGATTATTCCGGCACTTTCGTTGCAACCCATCGCTTTCATTTCCTCCTCTACAGTCCTCAGAGTAGAACGCGCGTTCTCTTCGAAGCGATCGGTGGTATAACAGTTAGCATAGCTGCTGACAGTTGACCGGGTTCGACTCCCGACAAACCTGCTTTATCCTTTCTCCGCTGCAGAGCCTCCGTGGCCTGAAAACGGAAGCGAACACGATTATTCCGGCACTAAATTTTTAACCCGCTCGCTTTCACGCGTTTCTCTGGAGTCCTCAGGTAGAACGCGCGTTTCCTCTTTGAAGCGTCGGTGTGGTATAGCAGTTAGCACTGTGCTGGCAGGTTGACCAGCCGACTCCCGGCGACGCAAGCTTTGCTGTCGCTCTCACTGCAGAGGCCTCCGTGCATTTCGTGGAAGCGAACGCGATCCAGCACTAAATTTTTATTGCTCGCTTTTCGTTTCTCTCTACGATCCTATCATTGAGACGCGTTTCCTCTTCAGCGTCGGTGGTATGAGTTATGGCTGCCTTCAAACAGTTGACCCAGGTTCGGCTCCCGTACCAGCTTGCTTGCATCGCTCTCTTCCAGAAGCCTCCGTGTGCATTTCAGAAACGGAAGCGAACACGCGTTATTCCGGCGCTGATTTTAACCCTCCTTTTCGTTTCCCTCTCACGATCCTGCTCAGGTGGGGCAACGTTTCCTCTCTTCCGAAGCGTCGGTGGTATAACGGTTAGCATAGCTGCCTTCCAAGCAGTTGACGGGTTCGACTCCCGGCCTTACTTCTTTATGCTCATGCAGAGGCCTCGTGGCCATTTCAGAAAGCAGGTGAACGCGCGGTCATTCGGCACTTCATTTTAACCGCTCGCTGCGTTTCTCTCTGCAGTCCTACTCAGGCAGAACGTTTCCTCTTGACGTCGGTGAACATAACCCAGTTAGCATAGCTGCTTCAAGCGATTGACCGGGTTCGACTCCCGGCCGGCCTGCTTTGCTTTTGCCATCAACTCTCTGCGCTGCGAAATTCCGTGTGCATTTCCGAAAACGAGCGAACACGCGATTCCGGCACTTTATGATTTGCCCAGCCGCTCAGCGTTTCATACTCTGATCTCTCCGGTAGAACGCGCGTCCTCTCTTCCGAAGCATCGGTGGTATAACGGTTAGCATAGCTGCCTTCAACCGTTGACCCAGTTCGACTCCCCGGCCGACGCAAGCTTTGCTTTGCCATCATCTCCGCGCAGGAGCCTCGGTGGCCATTCGAGAAACAGGAAGCGAACACGCGGAGTTATTCGGCACTTTACGGTGCAACCCGCTCGCTTTCACGTTTCCTCTGATCTACTCGAGTAGAACAGCGTTTCCTCTTCCGAAGCGTCGGTGTTATAGCAGTTAGCATAGCTGCCAAGCAGTTGACCGGGTTCGACTCCCGGCCGACGCATGCTGCTTTGGCATCGCTCTCCACAGGGCCTCCGTGGGCATTTCGAGAAAACGGAAGCGAACGCGGTCCGGCATTTTAACCCGCTCTCGCTTTTCACGTTCCTCTCTGATCCTCGAGTGGAGCAGCGTTTCCTCTCTTGAAGCGATCGGTGGTGTAACGGTTAGCATAGCTGCCTTCCAATGACCAGGTTCCTGACTCCCGTGACGCAAGCTTTGCTTTGCCATCGCTCTCCGTTTGCAGTATCCGTGTGCATTTCAGAAAACGGAAGCGAACACGCGATTATTCCATTTAAGACCGAACCCGCTCGCTTTTCACGTTTCCTCTCTGATCCTACTCGAGTAGAACGCGTTTCCTCTCTTCGAAGCGTCGGTGGTATAACGGTTAGCATAGCTGCCTTCAAACAGTTGACGGGTTCGACTCCCGGCCGACGCAAACTTGCTTTGCCATCGCTCTCCTGCAGAGGCCTCCGTGTGCATTGCGAAAACGGAAGCGAACCGCGATTAGCGCTTTAAATTTTTAACCCGCTCGCTTTTCACGTTTCCTCTCACGATCTCTCGAGTAGAACGCTTTCTCCTTCCGAAGCGTCGGTGGTATAACGGTTACATAGCTGCAAGCAGTTGACCGGGTTCGTCCCGGCCGACGCAAGCACTGCTTTGCTCTCCGCTGCTAGAGGCCTCCATGCATTTCAGAAAACGGAAGCGAACGCGATTTCGCACTGATTTTCGCCCGCTCGCTTTTCGTTTCCTCTCTAGTCCTACTCCGAGTAGAACGCGTTTCCTCTTCCGAAGCGTCGGTGGTATAACGGTTAGCATAGCTGCCTTCAAGCAGTTGACCAGGTTCGACTCGCCGACGCAAGCTTTGCTTTTACCATCCTCTCCGCTGCAGAGGCCTCCGTGTGCATTGCGAAAACGGAAGCGAACGTCATTCCGGCACTTTAAATTTTATACGCTCGCTTTATCGTTTCCTCTCTGATCCTCTCGAGTAGAACGCGTTTCCTCTCTTCCGAAGCGTCGGTGGTATAACGGTTAGCATAGCTGCCTTCCAAGCAGTTGACCCGGGTTCGACTCCCGGCCGACGCAAGCTTTGCTTTTTGCCATCGCTCTCCGCTGCAGAGGCCTCGTGTGCATTTGCGAAAAACAGAAACGTGCGATTCATTCCGGCGCTTTAAATTTTAGCCGCTCAGCTTTTCCGTTCCTCTCTGATCCTCTCGAGTAGAACAGCGCGTTTCTCTTCAAGCGTCGGTGGTACTCAGCAGTTGCCTTTGCCTTCAAACGGATGGCCCGGGTTCGACTCCCAGCCGACATAGCTTGCTTTGCCATCATCTCCGCTGAAGGCCTCCGTGGCGATGAAAACGGAAGCGCGATCATTCAGCGCTTTAAATTTTAACCGCTCGCTTTTTCACGTTTCCTCTGATCCTACTCAGTAGAACGCGTTTCCTCTTCGGGCGTCGGTGGTATGGTTAGCTGGCTGCCTTCAAACAGTTGACCAGTTCGTCCCGTGACGCTTGCTTTGCTTTTGCCATCGCTCCTGCTCCATGCAGAGGCCTCCATTTCGAAAACGGAAACGAACGCGTTATTCGGCACTTTAAATTTTAGCCGCTCCTTTCACGTTCCTCTCTGATCCTCTCTCGAGTAGAACGCGCGTTCCTTCCGTCAATTGGTATAACGGTTAGCATAGCTGCCTTCAACGGATTGACGGTTCGACTCCCGGCCGACGCAAGCTTGCTTTGCCATCGCTCTCGCTGCGGTGCGCTCGAAACGGGAAACGAACGCGATTATTAAAGCGCTTTAGGTGCAACCCGCTCGCTTTCGTTTCCTCTCGTCCTACTCAGTAGAACGCGTTCCTCTTCCGAAGCGTCGGTGGTGCAACGGTTAGCATAGCTGCGCCCAACAGTTGACCCGGGTTCGACTCCCATTTGTGCAAACTGCTTTGCCATCTCACCGCTGCCATCCGTGTGCATTTCGAAAACGAACGAACGCGATTATTCGGCACTTTAAATTTTAACCGCTTCGCTTTTCACCGTTTCCTCCTCACGATCCTACTCCGGTGAACGCGTTTCCTCTTCCGAAGCGTCGGTGGTATAACGGTTAGCATAGCTGCCGGCAACGGATGCGGCCGGGTTCGACTCCCAGCCGACGCAAGCTTGCCTGTCGCTCTCCCGCTGCAAGTGCCTCATGTGCATTTCGAAAACGGAAGCGACGCGATTATTCAAACGCACAAATTTTTAACCCGCTCGCTTTGCGTTTCTCTCTGATCCTACTCCCGGTAGAACGCGCGTTTCCTCTCTTCCCGAGCGTCGGTGGTATAACAGTTAGCTTCAAACAGTTGACCCAGTTCGACTCGGCCGACGCAAGCCTGCTTTGCCATCGCTCTCGCTGCGCAGAGGCCTCCGTGCATTCAGAAACAGAGCAGACACGCGATTATTCCGGCGCTGCAACCCTTTCGCTTTTTCGTTTCCTCTGCAGTCTACTCAGAGTAGAACGCGTTCCTCTCTTCCGAAGCGTCGGTATAACGGATTAGCATAGCTGCCAAACGGTCCAGTTCCGACTCGGCCGACGCAAGCTTTGCTTTGCCATGTCGCTCTCACTGCCGGGGCCTCCGTGTGCATTTCGAAAACCAGGCGAACGCGGTCAGCACTTTAAATTTTAACCCGCTCGCTTTCACGTTTCTCCTCTGCAGTCCTGCTCAGTGGAACGCGCGTTTCCTCTCTTCCAGAGCGATCGGTGAACGGTTAGCGCAACTGCCTTCAAACAGTTATTTGGCCAGTTCGACTCTCCCAGCCGACGCAAAGCTTTGCTTTGCCATCGCTCTCGCTGCAGTCGTGCATTCAGAAAGCGAGCAGACACGCGGTCGGCACTTTAGATTTTTAACCCATCGCTTTTCACGTTTCCTCTCTACGATCTGCTCCTTTGAGTGGAACGCGTTCCTCTCTTCGCGGGCGTCGTTGGTGCCTGACTTGGTGTAACATAGCTGCCTTCAAGCAGTTGACCAGGTTCGACTCCCAGCCGACTATAAGCTTTGCTTTTGCCATCGCTCTCGCTGCAGAGACCTCCGTGTGCATTTCAGAAAACGGAAGCGAACACGCGATTATTCGGCACTTTGCTAAATTTTAACCACTCTTTTCACGTTCTCTGCGATCTACTCGAGTAGAACGCGCGTTCCTCTCTTCCGGGCGTCTGGTGAACAACGGTTAGCGCCGCTTCTTCAAGCGATTGACCAGTTCGACTCCCCGGCGTACAAGCTTGCTTTGCCATCATCTCTTTGCAGAGGCCTCCGGCATTTGAAAACAGGCGAACACGCATTCGGCACTTTAAATTTTAACCGCTCGCTTTTCGTTTCCTCTCTATCCCTACTCAGTAGAACGCGTTTTCCTCTCTTCCGAAGCGTCAGGTGGTGCAACGGTTAGCATAGCTGCCAAAAACCCAGTTGACCCGGGTTCACGACTCCCGGCCGACTAGCTTGCTTTACCATCGCTCTCCTTTGCAGAGGCCTCCGTGTGCATTCGAAAGTAGAAACTGAACTGCGCGATTATTCAGCGCTAAATTTTAACCCATCGCTTTCGTTTCCTCTACGATCCTCAGTGGGCAGCGCGTTTCCTCTCTTCCGGCGTCGGTGGTGTAACGGTTAGCGTAGCTGCCTTCCAAACAGTTGACCCGGGTTGTCCGGCCGGTACAGCTTTGCTTTTGCCATCGCTCTCGCTGGGGCCCTCCGTGTGCATTTCAGCGGAAGCGAACGCAGTTATTCAGCGCACCGATTTTAATGCTTTTTCCGCGTTTCTCTCTACGGTCTCTCGATGAGCAGCGTTTCCTCTCTTCCCGGCGATCGGTGGTATAACGGTTAGCAGCTGCCTTCAAACAGTTGGGTTCGACTCCGGCCGGCCGCAAACTGCTTTTGCCATCGCTCTCCTGCCTCGCGCAGAACCCCCTCGTGTGCATTTCGAGAAAACGGAAGCGAACACGCATTCGGCACTTTAAATTTTAACCCGCTCGCTTTTCACGTTTCTCTACGATCCTCGAGTAGAACGCGTTCTCGCCGGGCGTCGGTATAACGATTAGCGCCTTCCAGAAACAGTTGACCCGGGTTTGACTTCCGACCGACGCTTGCTTTTGCTTTTGCCATCATCTCGCTGCAGAGGCCTCGTGTGCGATTTCGAGAAAACGGAAGCGAACGCGATTATTCCGGCGCTAAATTTTTAACCGCTCGCTTTTCCGTTCCTCTCTGCGATCCTGCTCGAGTAGGGCGTTTCCTCTCGGCGTCGGTATAACGGTGCTTAGCTGCCTTCCAGTTGAAACCCGGGTTCGACTCCCGGCCCGACGCAAACTTTGCTGCCATCGCTCTCCGCTGCAGAGGCCTCCATTCAGCCAGGCGAACACGCCGTTATTCCGGCGCTTTGGTGCAACCGGCGCTCGCTTTCACGTTTCCTCTACGATCTACTCGAGGTAGGGCGTTCCTCTCTTCCGGCGTGGTGGTATAGCAGTTATAGCTGCCTTCAAACAGTTGACCCGGGTTCGAGCTCAGCCGACGCAAACTTTGCTTTGTATCGCTCTCCGCTGCAGAGGCCTCCGTGTTACGTCGAAAACGGAAGCAGACACCGCGCGATTACCCGGCACTTTAAATTTTAACCCGCTCGCTTTTCGTTTCCTCTCTACGATCCTGCCTCGAATTAGAACGCGCGTTTTCCTCTCTGTCGGTGGTATAACAGTTAGCATAGCTACCTTCAAGCAGTTGACCAGGTTCGACTCCCGGCCGACGCGTATACTTTGCTTTTGCCATCGCTCTCCGCTGCAGGACCTCCATGCATTCGAAAACGGAAGCGAACACGCGTTATTCCGGCAAATTTTAACCCGCTCGCTTTTTCACGTTTCCTCTCTGATCCTACTCAGTGGTGTGCGTTCCGAAGCGTCGGTATAACGGTGCTTTAGCTGCTTCAAGCAGTTGACCCGGGTTCGACTCCCAGCCGACGCAAGCTTGCTTTTTGCCATCTCTCCGCCTGACCTCGTGCATTTCAGAAAACCCGGAAGCGAACACGCGTTATTCCGGCACTTTAATTTTAACCCGCTCGCTTTTCACGTTTCCTCTCTACGATCCTACTCGAGTAGGACGCGCGTTTCCTCTCTTCCAGCGTCGGTGGGCCCTGCCCAGTTATGGCTACCTTCAAACAGTTGACCGGGTTCGATCCGGCCGGCACAAGCTTTGCTTTGCCATCTCCGCCGAGGCCTCCGTGGCTGCATTTCGAAAACGGAAGCGGTACGCGATTATTCAGCGCTGAGATTTTTAACCCGCTCGCTTTTCACGTTTCTCCTCCTCTGATCCCCACTCAGTGGGGCAGCGCGTTTCCTCAACTTCCGAGCGTCGGTGGTATAACAGTTAACGCCCAAGCAGTTGACGGGTTTCAATCGACATAGCTTTGCTTCTTGCCATCATCTCACTGCAGGGCCTCCGTGCATTTCGAAAACGGGAAACGGTACGCGATTATTCCGGCGCTAATTTTATTGCTTTCCGTTTCCTCTACAGTCCTCTCGAGTGGAACGCGCGTTTCTCTTCCGAAGCGTCGGTGGTATAACGGTTAGCGCTGCGCTGACAGTTGACGGTTCGGCCGACGCAAGCTTGCTTTTTGCCATCGCTCTCCGCTGCAGAGCCTCCGTGTGCATTTCGAAGCGGAAGCGAACACTTGATTATTCGGCGCGCTTTAAATTCGCCCGCTCGCTTTTCACGTTTCCTCTCTGATCCTACTCGAGTAGAACGCGTTTCCTCTCTTCAGGCGTCATTGGTATAACGGTTAGCAACGCTGTAAACAGTTGACCCGGGTTCGACCCGGCCGACGCAAGCTTTGCTTTTGCCATCGCTCTCCGCTGCGAGACCTCGTCATTTCAGAAAACGGAAATAGCGAACGCGGTGTTCCGGCGCTAAATTTTGCAACCGCTCGCTTTTCACGTTTCCTCTCTACGATCCTATATGGTGAACGCTTCGTTCCTCTTCGAAGCGTCGGTGGTATAGTAGTTAGCATAGCTGCCTTCAAACAGTTGACCTTCGACTCCCGACCGACGCAAGCCTTTTGCCATCGCTCTCCGCTGCAGAGCCTCCGTGTGCATTTGAAAACGGAAGCGAACACGCGATTATTCGGCACTTTATTTTAACCCGACTCGCTTTTCACGTTTCCTCTCTGATCCTACTCGAGTGGAACGCGCTTTCCTCTCTTCCAGCGTCGGTGGTAGCAGTTAGCATAGCGCCTTCAAAGCAGTTGACCCAGGTTCGACTCCCGACCGAGCATAACTTTGCTTTTCCATCGCTCTCCGCTGCAGGCCTCCGTGTGCATTTTCGAGAACGGAAGCGAACGCGATTCGACCGCCTTAGAATTTTTAACGTCGCTTTTCACGTTTCTCTCTACATCCTATCGAGAAACGCGCGTTTCCTCTTCAGAAGCGTCAGGTGGTATAGCAGTTAGCATAGCTGCCTTCAAACAGTGACCCGGTTCGACTCCCGGCCGACGCAAACTTGCGCATCGCTCCGCTGCAGAGGCCTCGTGCATTCGAAAGTGAGCGAACACGCGTTATTCCGGCGCTGGGGTGCAACCCTTTCCGCTTTTCGTTTCGCGATCTACTCAGGTAGAACGCGCGTTTCTCTTCGGGCGTCGGTGGTATAACAGTTACTTCGCTGCCTTCAAGCAATTGAGCCAGGTTGATGACCGACCTTCTTTGCTGCCATCGCTCTCCGCGCAGAGGCCTCGATGTGCATTCGAAAAACAGGCTGAACACGCGGATATTCCAGCACTTTAAATTTTAACCGCTTTTCACGTTTCCTCTCTGATCTCGCGGTGAACGCGCGTTCCTCTCTTCGAGCGTCGGTGGTGTAACGGATTAGCATAGCTGCCTTCAAACAGTTGACCCGGGTTCACAGCGGTACAAGCTTTGCTTTTTGCCATCCTCTCCGCTGCAGAGGCCTCCGTGTGCATTTCGAGAAAACGGAAGCGAACACGCGATTATTCCGGCACTTTAAATTTTTAACCCGCTCGCTTTTTCACGTTTCCTCTCTACGATCCTACTCGAGTAGAACGCGCGTTTCCTCTCTTCCGAAGCGTCGGTGGTATAACGGTTAGCATAGCTGCCTTCCAAGCAGTTCAATTTGTTAAAAAATGTGTATGAATGATTTTTTTTCTCTTTTTATTTGTTGTTGAGGAACTGTGTCAAATAACGTTATTTCCTGAACATTCTTCTGGTTACTTAAAGGATTTTTTTTAACAACTGATTTCTTTTTTGTGATTAATATTTCTTTTCAATTGTGAGTGAAATTATAGTTACTGTGTCAGAAATATTTTTTAAAGTATTTTTTGGGGGGTTTGGTATATATTAAGCTCTCCTTTTTTTCATTTTTATACATATGTTCGTATTTAATATTTATTATTTTTATTGTATTTTTAAATGTTCGATTTTTTTTTTTTAGTGTTTAAATCTATGTTGCTTTCATGAGCCTTACTAGGGCTATTGTTTTTTATAGCCTATAAATGACGTACCGCTCCACTTTTGAAAAATATTTCCTGTTTTTGCGTATGGTTTTGCTCAATGTTAAAAAACATGTAGTTATAAATTTCCCCCAATTTCTTTATAGGATTGAAATGAAACAAATATAAAAATTAAGTATTTCATTTACTTATCGATTTATATATTACCTTAAATCATATGTGAACTGGAATCAAGATATGACTGAAAATAAATAACATTATCCAGAATTTTAAGCTGATAGGCAGCCTTTTTTCTTTTTTTTTTGCCTCAAGAATTTCAATCTACGTCTCTTTAGTTTGACTTCCTTCGGTTTTTTTTTTTTGGTCAAATGATTTTAATATTGATTTAATGTTAGCAGCCACTTAAGGGGCTACTGTTTTAGGTGGATCATTTTTAGAGCACCAGATCACTTATCATTTTTTTACCGTTTTCTTTAACTATAATTACATTTGGCCGATATAATATTCAAATTAATAATTTATCGCTTGCTTTAATTTAACTTAAATATACTCCATTTAAGAATTTATCATTTTCTTTAATTTTAATGTCGGAAAAGTGTACTATTGTCCATTTCTCGATATTTCATTGTTTACTTTAATTCTTATTTAAGTGAGTATTTGAATAATTAATATAAAAAAAGCGCATCTTGTGTGGCTAAATCTGTTCTTTGCAAAACTTTGGTTTGCAACCTTTTTTAATTAATGTAATAGTTTCTATTGTTATATTTTGAAAGGTTTTGAGACATTTAAATTTTGTTTTTCCTCCAAAAATATATTTACTGGCCTTAATAGAATATTTTATACAAGACTTCCTATGAGGGAAAAGACGGATCTGCCATGCTATTCATGTTTGCTTAATAGTGTTTTTAATCATTTTACTTCGATATTTGGAAGTGGGGGCGGATGCTTTATTAGTGCCAAAAAAATTCATTTCGAATTTCTATCTCTTATCTTTAAGAGTT